TGTTTATTATCAGCAAATCAAGGCGGTTTCGCCTCCATGCCTATAATAGGGCAGATTGTGAGAGCCTCTGGCCAAGAAACCACGTCATCGCGAGTCGCCGCTGCCATACGAAGACCTCCGCATCAAAAGATTGATGAAGTCCTTCGATGGCTGCCAATACATGCTGATTCATAGCCTTGATTAACCCATTAAAGTTGGCTAATTGAACATTTCCCATTTGCATGCGGTATGCGGCCACGCCACAGCACTTACACATGAGAGGCATGTGATGGACTTGCTTTACATGAGGCTTTTGATAAAGGCGCTTCAGTCAAGGCGAGATAAAAGTATATACGAAATTCCCACGTGTTATTTCAGCGCAAAGCACAACTCTGAAATGATTGTAAATGATACGTTTGCTTAAATAGATGAAAATTTGAAACTTGTTTTCCTGAACAAAGTTACGAAGCCAAACTTTTGCTGCCGGAAAGTCCATATATTCTCAGGAGTTCGATGTTTTTTGTTGGCCGATCAAAATCTGAACTTAATAACTTAATAATCTTAAATTTTAATAATATTAATCATAATAGTAAAATCTGAACTTAATTAATGAACTTTTAAAATACTCTTAACTTGTATCGGCTGATCCATCAAAGGGCAAATATAATAAAGAGTAATCTTACAATAAATTTTTTAGTGATAATATGATAAATTTCCTTTTTGTTGTGAGTCAATTCTGAAAAAACGCCGAGAGGTTGTTATGAGAAATAATTCGATACGTCAACGGTAAATTAAAAAAATTCTCAATTTCGATTGGTATAAATTCATAGTAACAAATTTAATGTTTTTCAATACTGGCAATTGAAATACGCTTTGAACTTACATAAGTCGTGCCCAAATTGCCGAATTGAAGATTCTAAGTAATCGGCAGCCAGTTTGCCGAATCTGTAGAATCAGCATTTCGTTGCTGATTCAGAAAAACGGACGTCAGAGTTGGAGTTAAAACATAAATCGACAGTTAGAGTTAGAAAAGGTTAGGTCAAGTTCGGTTTAGTTCCTTTGTATGTAAATATTAAAAATATATAACTCAGTACTCACTGCAGTGAATGACAGAGAGCGCATTTTCTCGTCGACGAAAACGTGGTCACGGACGGACGGACGGACAGACAGACAGACAGACGGACATGGCGAGCACAATAGTGCATTTTTCCATAAATGAGAAAATGCGCTAAAAACGTTGCTGACTGACCTAACCCCAGATTCCTATAGTATAGAAATGCTGATTCTAAAGATACTGCAAACTGGCTGCCGATTATATAGAATCTAAAATTCCGCGATTTCGGCACAACACAATCATTTATATTGTGGCGTCGCACACGCTCCGTGGTTAACACGAGGCTATACTAAATAACAGTCATTATAGGGGTTGTAAAGTTTCGACTCGTAACTCAGTCTCTATAAAGTTTCGTCTCAAAGGATAGAAACAAAGCAAGTGATTCATGAGCGGAAACTTCGACCTTGCACATGGGATAGCACACTTTGAATCTCTCCTGTCGACTATGACAATATCACTTGGTCACTAAATTAAATAAAATTAAATTGCGATTGATATATTTTATTCCTTCGATCAATTATTACCGTCATCTCAATGGAAAACGTAATTGAGTTATAAAAAATTGTTTAGACAGAAATTGCGTGCACATTTTGCTTGCGAAGGATCGCTAATTATAATACTCCTGTGATGAATTAAAGCGATTTCTTTCGTGTACAAGTACTTGCAGTATATATATCCCATTCCTAGTTTTGATTAATTTTTGAGCGCTTTTCCGATACCAATTTTTTCTTCAATTGCCTCAATTATCTTGAATAAGACCTTATGAATGAACTTTGAATGCTCAGAAAGAAATTATCCGGAACTACAGAGTAAAGAATCTAAAACAAAATAACTTTTCTTGTGCTCCGCGAAACTCAGGATCAGTACAAACGTTTTTCAATGGCAGTTTACATGTCACGCAGAGCCATAACAATGCATCCTAATTACGGAACAAAGTAATGCCACGCGAGTTCTATTATCCAGCCGTTACACGGTGGGGCCTAAGTCAACTTTCATCTGCTGAAATTAAGGATCTTTTGTGCAAAAAAACATCTCAGTACGGTGAGGTGATATTGATGCTTGTACCTGAAAAGAGACTTTGTTAAAATTTTGCTTGGAAGAAAATGTTTTTGCTTTTGCTTGCGTTTCTCTGCTTTTAGTGGCACCTGACTTACTGGATATTATTTTATCTATCATGTTGTCGGTTATTGGCTTATTTGATGACTGCATGAAATGTGACAATATGCGGTTTAAAATTAGATGTTTATTGTTAAATGAAAACAATTAAAATATTGGTTCCACAATTTTCAAAAGAGACCTTTGCAAATAATTCAAGTTATTAAGCACTCAATGCTTCATTCCCCGTAAAAAACTTTAGCTTAACAAAAATGTAAAATGAATAATAAAACGAGTTTCGAATGCGTCCATAGAGATGAGATCTTTTCATATTTTCAATTCATGTAATTGATGGTCATTGAAGTTAATTGTGTACGAGTGCAATAATTGGATTACTGATCGAATTGCCAGTATTATCATAACCCCTTTTCGATCCAATGGCGCCACAATTTAGTATTTATGTAAAATATACTGACCTCCACCTATAGTAATCACGCAATTATTGGTTTGTTTGCGCAAGAAGAAGAATATTACTGCATAGGTAATAAATAATTGAGAGCCTTTATATTTTCATTTCATCCAACTGTGCTATAACATAAATGGTGATAAAGGGCCCAAATCAGCAAAGAATGACTCTGGAATTAGCTATTATATATTTTATTTGTAAATAGAGACCGGTATTAGTGAGCAAATAAGGATACTTTAAGGATTATATATTTTCAAATTTGAAAAGTTTGAATAGAGCTCCGAAGTAATGTTACACTACGTTAAAAGAAAATGTTCGAATTACGTCGTATTTCTCTGTTCACGCCACACGTTGCCATAAGAACTTCCTAATTTTCTCAGAAAGGTAAAACAGTAGCGGCGCAAGACGACTCCTAGCATGCAACACCTTGCATGAAAACCTGCCTCGGTTTTTGTGCGCCTCGGTTTTGTGCGTTTAAATCGTTCAGTTGCACCAAGAAGCCAACCTGTTGCTGACGCTCCTCATGCATGTGATTTATTTATAAAGAATGCGCTCTTCACATTTAGTTTATATATGTTATTTCCTGTGTGAAAAAGTGTCCGTTTATGATACAAGTCATGAGTCATCGCGAGATAAGATGATGAAGAAACTTATCAACGACCTGTTCTAGGCAGATCATACACCAATAATATAAAGGGTTGGTTTGCAAGAAGCAATCACAGTATGCGTCTATACGATAGAACCTTGAGAATCCCGCCCATATTCCACGAAGAATTATCGCAAAGATGTTAAGGAATGGTTCGATGTCGTCAAGTCGATTGGCAATAACCATAAAGTATTTTTTAGTCTGAAATCGTTCCTTTATGAATTATACTGCATTGCTTTGCGATGGTAAATAATCATTGTTAAAAAAGTTGCAAGTGCCTTGCAATCTTCTGTGTCGGATCGACGATCGCTTATTGATCTCGGATCTATAAATTTTGTATATAATTTGTGTCCACTGATTTGGGTTTATAATTCCCGAGAGAAATCATTCCCATGTAATGGTTTATTTTATAATTTGAAGTTGAGATGGTATTTCTATGATTTGAAGTTGAGACCTAAAAAAACGCTCATGCCGGCTGAAACAAAAAAAAAAATAATGTGCATTGAACGCGATGCCAATGTTATACACTTATTACGTATATGATGAGTAACGATTAAAAACGGCTGCTCAACTCGTTACATGTAATTATATCTAAATAATAATAATAATAATGGTACCGGCGATATACATTGCCGTCAAAACAGTGATTATGTAGAACTAAAAATTTTCTACTACTTTTAACTTGAAATGTCATCTCTCATAATATATTGTCGTGGAAGACAAACGCAGCAAATCGTTTCATTACCTCCCAATGAACCTTAACTGACAAACTCTGACACGGGCTGAATCCTGTCAGAACCTGTCGCTCGCGGTCACTGCTACATGAGAGTATCCGTTTAGCCTCCTAAAACATGAACCAATTTTCAAACGTTCAAAATTTCTTTAATCAAGGAGTCTATAGATTCTTTCGATCATTTCCAGGCCATATAGATTATTATTCAAAATAATTTGCTATTCACGCACAGTCTTCGAAAAAGACCTATTGCAGTTCTACTAGTTTAATCAATATTTTTGGAATTTTACGATCCATATTTATAAATTCGATTGCTAAAACTTCAAAACCTAATAACCCAAAAAAACTATGGAATCCTTGCCTAAAGCTAGTGATTTTTATATAAGGGTTTCTCGTGTCGTTGAAGTCGCGAAACTCAATTTCAATTCCTACCTCATACAAGGTATTTTCAAAAACTCGTCGCCGGTCGTCTCTTTTCACAGAACAAAAACGCTTCTCGCGTTTCGCGCCTGCGGCAGTTAGGGCGGGCGAGACATACAGCATTTCCTTTCGCTTATCCTCCTTCACTGACGAAAAAAAATCCCGCGTGTTATGTGAGCCTTCTTCCTTTACACGAAAAAAATATATACTAATCCATATTTTCTGTTTCTCAATGTTCACTCTTCGCATTTTTCCATCATGTTGAAGTCTAATTTTGTATTTCTCTTACTGTCTCAAGGTCTATCTGAAATTTCCGTTTTTTGCCGCATTTTCTTTCATACCCTAATATAAAGCGAACATTTTGATCATTTTCATTTTTTCCTCTTCGCGTTCATTGCCTGAAATAATTCAATTATCCTTCGTTTTGATCATGTCTCTGTTTAAACCGCTAAATGGCCGCAATTTTAGTATACATTCCAAAACGATAAATCTCGCCTCTACGTCAAAGGATATCTAGCCTAAAAAAGGATCAATGGAAAAACAAGTGTATATCTTAAAAGTATTTTATTAAATGCCGAGAAACGAGTGCATTCAAAAGCAAATAAATATGTCTTCATAATATCACAGCAATGGATGGCGGCCTCAGTCTTCAGAAGTGACGTCTGAATTCGAAGGTTCAACAGCCCTAAGTCGGAGGAGATCCACGACACGTGGAGCCTCTATCACAGATCGCAACGATGTCACTCCATCAATTATTATTATCACGCTGATTTTGTACTGACGGGCGGTAGTCTTGCAGACCGGTTAGCCTTCATGTTGCTGTTGAATGAACACAAGTGAGGGTACAAGTCCCAGAGATCTTCTTCCTCTCCGCCGGTCCAAAAAGTACCGAACTGAATTTCCGTGTCTTCGTTTAGGAGCAAAACTCCGTTGTGTAGGCTTGGGTTGTGTTCAAGGTCGAGAGATGCTGGGGAAGCTTGGATGATTTGCCGCAATCTTGCTTCAAGAGCTTCGTTTTGCAGGTTTTCGTTGATCTCGATGTCAAAGTTTACTCGCTCCAGCTCTTGATTCTTCTTCGATGTCTTCGTAAATATGTGTAGTGACTTTTTCAGTGCTGATTTGATGGCCTTCTTGATCTTGAATAATGTGATGAAACTTTTATTGCGGGTAGAGAGAGCCATGGCTGCTCAGTGAGCGGAACGATGCGTCTACTGAGAACGGGAGTAGTACAACCGACAGGGCGATCGGGTATGGTCTGAGCGTGGGTTGGATTTGGCGATCCTTATATAGCCGGCAGCCTGTGACGTCACGGGCACGTGATCCTCGTGGCAGGTGTGCGCACCACGAGCACAACGCGACGAGCCCGCGCTGCTGATGCCAGATAACACCACACGAAATAATTCCAATATCGTTCACTATAAGCACCTCTTCAATTTTAAGGTCGTTTTACACCTTCCCAATATAATCAAATTTATATATATTGGCAGGAGGCGGCAACGCAGCTACTTTCACTGAAAAACACGATAAAAAATTCTAATAAAAATACCGCGTGGATCACACTGCTAAGAAGGCGGGCATCGTGAGAACAGAATTGGAGGCTGCGTTCCCACCGGGGCTCTGGAATTCGGACGACATGTGCGCAACGAACGATTGAAAACATGAGCCTCTTCGCTTACCTCACTTCCTCTGTCTTGCGCTCTAGTAAACAAATGCGGTCTTGTCTTCGACTTCTGAAGGTCGTAAAGTTTATAATTTGCCCTCTAGGCTTTGTTTGAAGAATATAAGCTTAAGATACTCACGCCTCGCAACACCCGTGAACAGAACCCAACCAGCATGTTGCCAAACCGTAAAATACGTATAACCTTCAAACTACTGACTCTAACCAAATGAAATGACCTGACTGTGTATTTAATTTAGATGATAAAAAGTTTAAACATTTGGAACTTATATTTCTCATAATATTATCAAATTGTACAACTAGCCTGGCGTCTTTTTCGGCACCTAAAGTCGTTTGTGCCTTTGCCTAATACAGACACAATATTGATATTTTAAATTTCAAGCACGATATGGCACGCGGAATTTGATCTTATAAAGAATTAATGCAACGATCTTTCACAACCAATTATTTTTTTTAATTTAATGCGCCAAATAAGGTTTGTCATAAATGTCAACTGATATATTACAAATTTAGACTTATTTGGATGCACTTTTAGTAACAATGGGGAGCCCAGGTTATGTTCATAAGGTTTTTATTCTTTAAAATAAAATAAATAAATAAATCCGCTCAAATTATCACTCGGATCGCTGCAAGTCGTTGGGGCAAAAAGCATAGCTAGTGAGCCTGTTTATTCATTGCCGGGGGGTAATGTACACGTTGGACGACTAAAAAAACGTGTAGGACGACTAAAAAAACGTGCAGGACGACTAAAAAAACGTTTAGAACGTTTCTTGTTTGAACTGCGAACACCGAACACCGAACACGAGATCAGACGTGTTCTTTCGGAGTTCAGACGGCCAAGGTCATAAGGTCTAATAGAACGTTTCTTGTTTGAACTGCGAACACAGAACACCGAACACGAGATCAGACGTGTTCTTTCGGAGTTCAGACGGCCAAGGTCATAAGGTCTAGATTGAATGCTTGAACAATTGGCCACTTCCTATGGTCAGCGGCTTTATTACTTCACGGTAGCAATTCAGATTCAATGAGAAATCGTTACTAAGTGATATAACATATAAGGGAACAAAAATAGCCGCATAGATAAGCCACGTTGAAGCTGGAGATTGAAGGAAGCGAATGAAAATAGTACATTAACATAGCGTATGGAAAAATGGATAAGTTCCACACTTATACATCGTTATAAGCGAGAAAAATGTTCAAAGCAATCATGATATTATTGTGACTGGTGTATCGTTAAAAAACGCGCATTTTCTCGATTTACTTTATTCGTGAACTATTTATAGCTTTTACAGTCACGTCCAAGAACGAGACTGTCTGATAATAATTCTCAAGTGCATTTGTTTAGAAAATACGAAAATATGGCGACATATTTGCCTTCTCAACATATATATGAGCTCATTCCGTCCGGAAATTTTTTCGGGGGATTATTGATGCGAGACAAAAAAATAAAATAAAATTATGCACTTGAAAGTCCGGTATCTACTCATATAATTCTACGAGACTTGCACCAGCCTACGAATTCAAATTACAGACCGCCTTCTTACCACGAGTTCACCCAGTTTTGTTAGAAGCACCGCAGGTACTACAAGCTAGTTAAGAGCAGGTAGAAATTTCATTGTGGAATTTTAACGGTTCTTCAGGGGAAAGGATCTTCGTTTTCGGCCCCTGGAGATCAGGTGCGGACTGAAAATTGTCAGTTTTTTTTCTTTTTGGTTGAGGCAAGTGTTAAGTTACAAATAAAACTTTTTCATACGTGTTTATTGTTAAAAATCAGGGGCAGCTATTTATTGATTTATTTTTGACGCAATTTATTTATATTTCCATATGTTGTCTTTAAAAGTATTGGACAAAATTTTCTCGTCTAAATGTATAATTTTAGCGTGGATGTTTTTTTTAATACTCTCGGCAACGCACGCGCACCAATTAACTCGTTCCCACATTCCAACCGAGCCCGCATTCCCATTCCCAAAGTCAGCAGCTGCTGCTTCCTGCCGTCTGCAATTGCGCACGGCAGGCCTCCGTTCCCATTCCCGAATGTTCGCCAGGAACATCTGTAGCTCGTCTTCATCCGCATTCCTGAGTTAAGTGTTCCTAGCCACGTGTGGTCGTTTGCGGTTAATTTCGTTTAAGTTATTACGTCACAAAATGGTGCTTGAGATTGTTTCGGTTTTCCTTGATTTTTAATTCATGCAAATTAAGTGATTATTCAGGATATCACTCCTCTGGAACTGAACTTACGTGTTGATTAATAATGAAATTCTTTCTTGATACTACTTGCAGATATTAGGAGAATCGGAAACTGATTCTATTTGCACGAATTACAAATGAAATGATATAAGTATATTCTTTGTATTGTCAGGAAAAAATGACCAGCAAATTTGTTCTAATTGCGCGCTAACTACGCATGCGTACAACGGAAGATAGCCAAGGTGAGCGCTAACTGACGCATCAAAAATTATCTAGATCAATGCAATATTGATCTACTCATCTACTTATTATCTACTTAAAATAATCTACTTTCCTGCGGGAACAAAAATCACATATGTATGTATCCGATCAGTAGAACTTATGGTGCAAATCAATAGGCAATTTGAGGAAGCCTCTGGATTATTCATGTTACTTTTAGTATGCATGTTACCTGGAACAAAAAATATAAAAAAATTTTTGAGAAGTGCATTTAACATCTCCGCTTTTGCAATAAAACCACAACGAAAAGTTATGACTATGAAGCAAACCAAAATTTCAAACTGTGAATCTATTATCATCTTACGATATTTACCGCACTTGTGATCGAACAGTTGACGTGCAAATAATGAAGTGTCCATCAGCACCGGACACTACAGCGGACGCGGACAGCGGCAGCCGGCATCAGGTTGTCCGTGAGAGCTCGCGCGGCTAGCACGTTCCCAGGCTGAACACGCACGCATGTGATGCTTTCCTGTTACCTGATGCCGTCATCCCGCTGCCCACTGCACTTATCACGTCACGTCGAGTGCCCAGCTTATATGTGATCTTATGATACGTGACTGCATGTAAATGTTCAGTTGGCCTGCGCCTTCATGTTCAGTTGGTCTATGTTGATTTATCAACCTTAATGCGCCTTCATCCCGCTGCCCGCTGCACTCACCACGTCGAGTGCCCAGCTTATATGTGATCTTATGATACGTGACTGCTTGTAAATGTTCAGTTGATTTATAAATCTGTTATTTATCATGAGTTAACGCAAAATCAGTCGGCTCGCCTGATTAACGATGATTAACATGCGTCTTTCCAAGCCGTAACTGTTATTGCAGTACTACGGGTCGAGTGCCCAGCTTATATGTGGTCTTACGATACGTGACTGCTTGTAAATGTTCAGTTGATTTATTAATCTGTGTTGATTTATTATGAGTTATGCAAAATCAGTCGGTTCGCTGGATGAGCGATGATCAACAGGCGGCTTTCCAAACCGTAACTGTTGTTTCAGTACTACTGGTAAGGATGAAAACGGCATTGGAATTACACGACGCTATTTTTTACCTGTCAAATAATTTTATTGAATTTGAAGGGTTTGAAGCGAGTGGACAATTATCGCTGATATACTGATTACGATTAGTTAGAGAAATACTGAAAGTATAGTTATAGGAAACGGCCGGGGACCTGAGCCATCCACGATCTAATAATATATTTTATAAATATCAAGTTATCGACGCTGATCCCTTCTCATCTCCTGAAGTCTTCCTCTTCGGATATGCTTCCTGATCCGTTTATTATGAGTGTTGAATGAATGGTGTTCACTTAACTAATTATTAGTTGCAAATTAGAGTGACTTGTATTCCCATGAATGTCAGTAAGAACTGAAGCTAGGAAGAACCGTACAAGATATTACATTATTATTATTATTAACTAGTTTCAAGTAATATTAATTATTAGTTTCAAATTAGAGTGACTTATATTCCAATGGATGTCAGTATGAACTGACGCGAGCAAGAACCGTACCAAGATATTACAAGAATCTTGAATATGAGAGTAACATGAAGCACCGGTGGAGCTTTTTCTGCCCAGTAGCATGGAAATTCTTCAATAGAATTTTGTCCACTAGGGAGAATAGTTTCATTGTGAAATGGTTCTGGTATTCATCACGCACAGGAAATGCCCTGGAAGGTCATTTCAATATACCTAGTGGAAACAACAACATTAATTCAATTAATATAATATTGCCGAATAATATTCTGTAAGATTATTCGTATCTTCAGTGTTATGTTCATGAGAGAGCATCCTGATAAAATATTCTTATCTAAGAAAATTATCCATAGACCTACAGTGGCATGTTAAATTTGGTAAAGTAGTGAATAAGTTTGGGAGAACTTGCATTAGGCAAACATGCTTCTATTTTCCAGGAAATAATCTGTTTGGGTAAAAATAATTATAAAATTATCAGCTGGCTTTCACATGGACGACGCTCGGGAGATTTCGATCGCACAAATTATTACGGGTTGGAAGTAAAGCACTGAATGCCATTTTCTCTGATTTGCCGGAATAAAAAAAACTGGATAAAATTCAATGACGTCATCACTCGAAAATTTA